TGTGTTTATGTGTGTGTATGTAATGTCAGTTTCCTCTAAGCTGTGATTACAGACGTTGCACAACCCATTTCTACACAACTTAGTTGCAAATGCCCACAGGGGTCTGGGTTTGTGGAGTAATGAGGCGAGTTTACTTTGCATGTGAGTCCACAAAACTATTACCATCTCTAGCTGCCTTTGAATAATGTAAGCAAATACTTTTTGCCAGATGTGTGTCTTTATAAATGCACAAGCGTACACATTGGAAAATAACACACGACTTGAAGCTCTAGAGTTTGTGCAACACAAAACATTTTTTATTTAACATCTGGTCGATGCCGTGGCAGAGAGCAGCTAATGGAAGAGGGAATCTGCCATAACTGTAACTCCCTCCTCTGCATCGTCCAGCCAGTTCTCTCTCTTAAAATAAAGTCATGTGAAAGAGGGCTTTAGTGGTTTGGTGTTAATAGCGGCTCAAAATGTGCAATAAGCCCCGGGGTTGATTTAACCTTACCACCCTGGAATTGTTTCACTTTTGACACTTTAAATTCACCAGTAATTCCTTCCTTTTCCTCCCCCTTCCTCCTCTCATCGGCAGCGGGTGAGCTGTAGTTAGCACACAACCCGGGGACGTCCACCTCTCTGTGAGACGCTCTTCTTCATTCTTCGCCCTCGCTGTTCTCGCGCCTCGTTCGCTGTTCGTGACTCCGCTCTAGACATTCATCTCTGTCGCTTTGTGACACAAGAAGCATCGTTTTTGTATTTTAAGGACAGAACCGCCTCCCACCTCTGCATATCCACAGTTTCACAAAGAGACAATTTGTTCTACAGGCTATAAGTGGGCGTTTGCACCAGCTGAAAAGTGCTAGCGGATCTGCATCTGTGGCAAAGCTTAAAATGAGCACAGAAAAATGAAGAAGAAGAAGAAAGATGTGCAATATCAGAGTCAGACTCCTGTCATATCACTAGAGTTGTTTTTCTTTGACTATTGTAATCTTAACATAATTAGTTTCCACTCCAAATATTTTAGTACCTTGACCTGGGCAACACAGAGATGCTAATAAAAAAGCCCTTGGGACACATTGGTTGAACTGATAAATATGCAGCGGTGTTCATGTTTGTTGCGATAGTTACTCTGCAATCTGGTCATAAAATCATCCTGTTTATACTTTGTTGCTAGACGATGTTCCTGTTAAGGGCTGGAGAAACACGCACCTGCTGCAGGGTCAGATCGGTGCTGAGAATTCAACGTTCATAACCATCACCATCAATCAGTCATAGCCAGCAAATTACTCATGTCCCCCCAAATAACCACAGCGACTATGAAAACACAAACAATCACCACTATGTGGAACTAGCGGCAAATAAAAAGTTTCATGAAAACTTGCCTCAACTTCTTTTATGGTGTCCTGTTCCTGAACGTCTGCCAGTGCACTTTTGCACCACTTGCAGTATTCTGCATTATGACACACGCTGGATCTCTTCCATTGTGTCAAAATGGGAGCTATTTAGCCTTAGCATAATTTTGGGTAAGAAAGCAAAGCTGCAGCAATGGGGCAGGTTGCCCCAAAGCAGCGGTCGTTATCACAGATGTGACGGTTCGACCCTT